CCCCAAAACCCCAAAACCCCAAAACCCCATAAATAAATATCAATCTTTCTCATAGCAAATGATTAAGCTTATTTATTAAATCATATTAAATTACTGTTATTAAGTTAGGTGCTAGAAGGTATTATCGTAGTATTTATTTGCTAGTTTTTTCTTAAAGATAATGTAAGTTTCTTGAATCTACTCTTTAGTTTCGCAGCTTAAACAATTACTAATCCATTTCTCCTGAAATTATTGCTGTTATAATTATTCTTATCATCCTAATTTAAACTAGCAAAAGCATTACTTTAATAACTTTCAGATTCATTCACACTTTCTTCCTCTTCTATTATCTTTGACCCTGCATTTGAGTCTCTTTAGATCTAATTATTATTACTAAGCATATGAGAACTGTTTAATAGTTCTAAGTCATGCTGATTTATTTGCTTAAGTTTTCCAGTTTATTTTTTACGCTTCGGAATAAGCATTATTGGAATTGATTTATATGCATCAAGTGGATTTTACTATAAATTTTGAGAACTACCTGATTTATTTTGTTAGCTCAACCCATTGTTTAGTGCAGTCAGGTTTTTCTTCATAATTTTTTCATTTTTGACATCAAAAGATTGCTTCTAATCATTCATATATCGATGATTATATTTCATTGCTAATGGACTAGGTTCATCTATTGATCTTTTTAAAGAGAAATTCTGCTATTAGTTATATTCTACAGAATGATTCAAATTCTATCTAAGATTGTCTTAGTCTAGACTCATCATTACTCTTTTTTCATTGACAAACTTTGAATTCTAAAATCTCCCTCCTTATGCAGAAACCCCTGGTTTCATTTATAAATTCTAAGTTTAATTCAAGTTTGATCTTGAATTTCTAGTTCGAAGTTATTCCTCATTAACATTAGAGAGATTCCTCAAACTGCTTGGAGCTCTTCTATTTCTAGAGAGAGATCTTGATTCTTAAGGTAGGATTTTTAGATTTTTAGAGCTTACTTTTTAAAGGTTTTACATGGATTAATCCACAATTTAATGTGGCATATCCGATTTTATTAAATTTTATTTACCGGTATAGTTCTTATTTATTGTTATGATGAAGTTGTTATTGTTAATTGTTGTATTCAAAGGGTTTTTATCCGATGATGTATTAACATCATTCTTTTATCTTATTAAAGGCATACTTCCATCAACACTGCAATTAACTTGAGTATCATTGATATGGCTTGTAATTCCACTTTTAACAGATTATTTATCTGTGTAAAACGTTCTATTAGCCATGTCCTATTTAGATAGATAATCATTGACAAGTATCATATTATTATTACCCTGATTACTATTTCTAAATCCATTTATTGTATTGCCATTATTTGCACTATTTTACTATGGTGTTTTTGCTTAGACTTATTTAAGCTTTATATCTGAGGGTAATTAATCCAAAACTTTTGGAAGTCCATTAGTTGCTGCAGTGTTTCCATTTTAATTCTTTTAGCTTTATTCTAGAGCATTAATCTTTTCTAATCCAAAGTTCAGTGAAGTCATATTCCTAAATTTTAAGTTTATTATAAAATTACATAGATCTAAGTGAAGAGGAATCTTCAATTTCAAGTAGAGATCTACTTCTGTTTTAAGTATCAATTTTGCTCCCAAAGTTTGAATGGAAAAATGTTTTCTGAAAAGGACTCTATAAATGAAAATTATAAAGATATTGCATACACCAGATATCTATGATGAAGAGCTGATAGTTGTACCCTTTTCCAGAAATTCATCTCATCTCTAGACAATGAATACAGCTAAATCCTTGAATGCTTCGTTGAATTTGGGAGGCATATATTTAATTTTGTCAAGTTCATAAAGTTTCTTAAATAACTTAACGTAATATTTACAAAACTTTCTGTCATCGAATTGCTCTAATGATTTTTAATACTGAAAAGGAATTCTTACCATTTTTAAAGATCTTTAGTATCTTAATTTACATCAAATACACAATGTTAAACAGACTCTTTAGATAACCTTCTTCCTATGCTCTGGTGCCGAATCCACTGTATACCGACATTTAAATAATTAACTTATAATATCAAAAATAATAATTATCTCTACTATTGAAATTTTTTATTAATATAAGAACCAAGGGGTTTTGGGGTTTTGGGG